TTGTTGTCGCCTCGTCAAGAAGTCGGCCCCGCGTGACTTCGGGGCCCCACGTGCCTCCAGACACCTCCGCGTGGCGGCCCTGAGCACCATCGTAGGGCCCTCGAGAGACATCCAGGAAATTCTAAACGAGGTCCACACCCTTCGTCTCTGTGACCTCCACTCGCAATCTGCCTGCCGCTGTCAATGCGGAGGGACCTCACGCAGGCTTCCAGGGTTCATGTTCACGGCGGTGACTGGGGCTGCCGTCGAGTCCAGCCAGCTGGATCCCTCGCGGCCACAGAGGCACCGCGACCTCTCAGCCCCCGCGCCTTGCGCCGACAATTGCCAGCAGAGTAGGGGAGATCGTTCCTTCGTCGTTACCTGGACGTCGCTTCTGCGATTGATCCTCTCGGAGAAACTGAAGTCATCGTTTGCAGAATTGAAGTGGAAATTATTTTACATCTTTGCAACTACTGCAAGTCACAGTGTATGGCTGTACTTGCCCGCTTGAAATAAAGGAAATATTGATGATGATGATGATGCTGGACGATGCAGGATTAGGGCAAGACCCGGTGCGTGATGGTGATGTGAACCCGGGGGATCTCACGGCACTGGCCAGTGAGTGCAAGACGAGTGATGGTGGTATCCGGGGCGGCAGGCAGCGAGGTGGGGTGAGGTGGGTGGGGTGAGGTGGGGTGAGGTAGGGGTCACAGATGAATGGGCAGGGTCGCGCTTTACAACAGCCGCTTTAAACGCTGCGTTGCCATGGGTCGGTGGCGGGGCCACGCGGCTGCAGAGGTTTCAAACGGCACGGTTCGCATGCTCGGCGTCCACCCTCGTGAGCCGGCGTCGATAAATTAATGAGCCGCTCTCTCTGTCTCTCGGTGTGGCGCTCATCGATGAGGAATTGAGCATTCTGTCACCTGCCTCGCAGTAATGATCTGCGAATCCGCGCTAATGCCCCGTCGGTGGTGTCTGGGTGGAGGCCGTTCGCCACGTTCGGCGTGCAACGTGGCCTCGGAGGTTCAGTCTCGGTCAAACGAGAGCGTAGTTTCTGTCCCACCCATCGCCATTGGTGGCTTGCAGCCTGTGGAGGGTGTTCCATGTTCTTACGTCAAACAGCAATAAGAAGAAAAACGTTTTGAGTGTCCGTAGCCTGCCGATGCGACCGCACGTGTCGCGTGGGGTGAGCCTCCTCGCCCGCCCAACGCTTCCGTTGCTGGAGTCCGTGATCGATTCCGTGACATTCGGCATCCGCCTACTGATTGGGTGTCATAGAGAAAAAAATATCTATCGATAATCGGCTTTACGGTCAGAAAGGCCCTGGTCAGATGTCGCAATCGGGTACCCGATACCCGTACCCTACCCAATACCCGGCTACCCGTACCCGGCTGGGTATCGGGTACGGGTACAGGTTTGCGACCCTGGTGCGGCCGGGTACGGGTAAGGAATCAAAACCCGTTTGCTACCTCTGGCCTGAGTTCATATCCCTGGCTTGGGGATCATGTCGGCTCATCATCCCTAGGGGGAAGTGGGTGGGGGGGGGGCAGGGGGATAAAATGAGAACCGCTTTGTGGAGAGCCAACGTTGTGTTCCTGCCACAGAAACGTGGACTGTGCATCGTTGGGTGTGCGACTCCTGTGCGGATGATCGCTGCCCCCCATTCGTCCGTGTCCATGTGGCGTGAATCCAGCGGTCACCGAGTGACTGTTCCACCACTGGAGAGACAAAGGCGGCCGGGCGTGGTGCTGGCTACACGTGTGTAATCCTGGCCTTCATAAGTGCTCGCTGACGGCACCTGCCCCAACAGCCTGTGAAGGCTACACCAGAGAACATTGCCCCCATGTCCAGGGTTTACCCAGGAAAGCCTCTCTCGTCTAAGACTCCATTTCAGGAGCATCCTGCTTTGGGATGTTTGGCCAATGCCACGGATGAGTGGGGCGCATGGATGGGGGAATGGCACAACCAGAGGTCGCAACCGGGTACCCGATACCCGTACCCTACCTGATACCCGGCTACCCATACCCGGCCGGGTACGGGTACCCGTTTGCGACCCTGGTGCGGCCGGGTACGGGTAGACTGTTAGTCACTGGTGAGTAGCCGTTTGTCACTCATTTCCCAACGTCTTGTCTCTTCTCACAATTCAAGTTCCTCGAATCAACCCACCCGCGCCTGCAACATGTTTTCATCCCAGAGGTCGCAATCAGGTACCCGATACCCATACCATACCCGTACCCGGCCGGGTACGGGTAGGGTATGGGTACCCGGCCGGGTACGGGTAGGGTACGGGTACCCGTTTGTGACCCTGGTGCGGCCGGGTACGGGTAAGGAATCAAAACCCGTTTGCGACCTCTGAGCACAACTTGGAGTAAACTCTCCACGCATACGAAGGAGTTGCCACTTGGATCTCCACACAGATGGATTTAAGTCCCATCTCCTAGGCACCCAGTGGAGTTTGGGAGTTTAGCAAGTCCCTACATGATCCACCAACCCTCGCCTCTAGAGTGACGGCTCACGGGGGTGTGTGCCCTCGGGGGACGGGAGGCCCGGGTGCCCGGCGCTGCCGGCCGTGCCCGCGATCGCCTCGCCATGTCAGAGCGAGCGGAGCGGCGCCGCTCGCTCTCGCGCGGTGACCCGAGGTCGGTCCCTCGCCACGGCTCGCATCGGCGGGGAGCGTCGTCGGGACGGGTTCTCGGTCGAATTGGCGTCGCACGTGCGCCGTACCTCGTGCGTCGCGTAGCTATCGGAACCAGGAAGACGAAGGCGCTCGCGCACCGGGCCAGACCTGATGGGCGCTCGCTAACCGTCTCGTGCAGCCTCCATGGGGGAACCGTGCTCGTTGTGTTCGTGGTGTCGGCGATTCACGCGGTGCCCTCCAATTCCAGTGCAGATTGCACAACCCACGAACGTGTAGCGCTGCCAATGGTATCTGAACCTGCGTTGGGGCCTCCCCCAAGTCAACTCGCCATGAATGAGCACCCGGCGCAGTGCGTGAAATCTCAAAGCAGGGGAGGGGGATGTACCTCGCTCCCACCCCGTGCGGACCGTGGGTGGAAGCGTTTAATGGGAATCGAGTCGCCGTGCGTGGCCGTGCTAGAGAGCTGGGTCCGTAGCCCTGCGGGGCGCGGGCAGCTCTGTCGATAACCAATTAAGTCCCCTTCATGGCGGGGCAGGTAATTTATTTATCTCCGCTGCCGCGAAACCCAAAGGACGTTCCCCGCACTCCTCCGCTTCTCGCGCCTCCGCGCGCGCCCCTCATCGATCGGCCACGGCGCTGGCCGTAGTTACCTGCGGCGACCCGGTAGACGGACAGACGTTCCGCCCCGAGCACCGCTGCCGGCGGCGGCGGCGGCGCAATTATGGCGTTAACGAGAGCGATGGCCCCGACGCCGGCTCGTGAAGAGGGAAGCCCCCGGTAGCGGCCGCGGCTGTGCCGGCAGCGGCTCGCGTGGCCGTCCGCTCGTTAGTGCCGCGTTGCGGCGGTGGAGGCCGCCGGCGCCGTCTCCTGGGGTGACATCCAAACACCTCGCGCTCGGCGGCGCTGGGGTACGGCAATTATCTGGGAGGACCCCACGCCCCCCCGTAGAGGTGTGGAATGTCGCCTGCCTGCCGGTGGGGATCAATGCCGTCCCGATGCCCCGGTGCGCAGGGAGTCTCGCCGGCTGTGTTTTGCCGTCACCTCCGGTTATTGCTGTCTCCTTCGCATCTTGGTGTTTTCTTCTCGTCGGTTTCCAGGGATAAAAATTTCGTTTTAAAAAAAAAATTTGGCTCTGTTCTGTCGGATGAATGAGCAGATCGGAGCTTTCTGGGAGAAATCCCAGTAGCGGGACTAAAGCAGGGAACTGCTGCAGTGGTCAGATGTGTACGTCAGACGGGCAATTCGGAAGAGCTGGGAATTAGTGGAGAGTTGTGCAATGATTGTGCAGACTTCTCGAATCTGTCGGGAGGGAAGAGGCGTTGGGAGCTTCTCGGTTGTTAGGTACGGAAGCTGGAGATGGCGTAGCATTGACCTGAGCCACTGTGACCCCACTGTGCACCGTGACCCTTACCCCACTGTCCCACCGTGACCCCATTGTGCCGCCGTGACCCCACTGTGCCGCCGTGACCCCACCGTGCTGCTGTGACCCCACCGTGACCCCACTGTGCCACCATGACCCCACTGTGCGCTGTGACCTCACTGTGCCACCGTGACCCCACTGTGCCGCCGTGACCCCATTATGCCGCCGTGACCCCAACTGTGCCGCCGTGACCCCACCGTGACCCCACTGTGCCACCGTGACCCCACTGTGCGCCGTGACCTCACTGTGCCACCGTGACCCCACTGTGCCGCCATGACCCCACTGTGCCACCGTGACCCCACCGTGACCCCACTGTGCCACCGTGACCCCACTGTGCCGCCGTGACCTCATTGTGCCGCCGTGACCCCACTGTGCCGCCGTGACCCCACCGTGACCCCACTGTGCCACCGTGACCCCACCGTGACCCCACCATGCCACCGTGACCCCACTGTGCCGCCGTGACCCCATTGTGCCGCCGTGACCCCACTGTGCCGCCGTGACCCCACCGTGACCCCACTGTGCCACCGTGACCCCACTGTGCGCCATGACCTCACTGTGCCACCATGACCCCACTGTGACCCCACTGTGCCGCTGTGACCCCACTGTGCTGCCGTGACCCTACTGTGCCACTGTGACCCTTACCCCACTGTACCACCGTGACCCCACTGTACCACCATGACCCCACTGTGCCGCCATGACCTCACTGTACCACCGTGACCCCACTGTGCCGCCATGACCCCACTGTACCACCGTGACCCTAACCCCACTGTGCCGCCGTGACCCCACTGTGCCACCATGACCCCAATGTACCACCGTGACCCCACTGTGCCGCCGTGACCTTTACCCCACTGTGCCACCGTGACCCCACTGTACCACAGTGACGCTTACCCCACTGTTCCACCGTGACCCCACTGTGCACCGTGACCTCACTGTGCCACCGTGTCCCCGCCGTGTCGTTGGCAGGGGCGCGTTCTCGGAGGTGGTGTTGGCGCAGGAGAAGGCGTCGGGTCGTCTCTTCGCCGTCAAGTGCATCACGAAGCAGGCGCTGCGCGGCAAGGAGAGCAGCATCGAGAACGAGATCGCCGTGCTGCACAAGTGAGCGGCGCGCTGGCGGGCGGCGGGCGGCGACGCGGTTCCGCTTCGCGTTGACCCGACGCTGCTGAAATTACGCGCTCCCAGAAGGCCGTGTGGCCGACGGGATGGGTGTACAAATCCATAAATAAACGCTCGGATATGTTTTTACGTGGAGGGGCGGATAGGTGGTGACGGAGGAGGTGTACTGTCCGGTTATCGATTAGTTCCCCCTGCTCTCCGCAACGACGTGGATGGTTACTCATGACGCCGCTCACTGAGGTTTGCGCGATCGTCACATCGCCACCCTCCCTCCCTCTCAGCGGTGTGAAGAGCTTAGCAAGGAACTCATTACTACCTCCGCCGATTCACTTCACGTAAGTTTCGTGGGCAGGAATTACGCCGTTGTCACGCTTTTGGTTTGGGATTATGATTTAAACCCCCCCCCCCCCCCACCACAAATCAATAAGCGTCGTAGGTGGCGTCGTTATTTTGAGTGAATCTTGTAAGCGGTTGTGGGCATCGCAATGGGAGGGCAGCCGCTCGCTCCTGCTGTGGTCGTCTCTTCCACCGCTGTTGAAATTCGCATTGACGTTGCTTTGAGGTTTGGCGTCTTCGCCGATTCCGGCTCGTCAATCGCGGCACTCGCAATGGGCCGATTGTGATCGCGAGGCGTTACGATGCGTCTCCATCGACGCCCGGAGCCGGGCGGCGGAAACTCCACGTGCCCGTGACAGGTGCCGGTCTCTCTCCATGACGGCTCTTTGGCTTGCCGCAGAGTGCGGAACGTCACTTTATCGACCACGCAGGGATGATGGGCGGATCCGATCCCCTAATCTGGATGTGATCGAAGGCGCTTTATGAATCACAAATCGGACAAACAAACGCCAGGTGGTGGTGGTGTCGGTGGTGGTGGTGTTGGGTGGTGTCGATGCTGCCGCTGCATCTCAACTGCATCTAGAAACCCCATGACCATGGTGGGTGGTGCAGGGAACACATTGTGTGTCCTGCACACAGCTGACGCTGTAAACTTTCAAATTGCCGCTCATGAACATGCAGTCGTTAACGTGGACATGGGGGTGGTCGTGGTGTCGGCACCAGCGTGTGCCGCTAGTTGTGCATTATCTGATGAACGCCGATCGGCTAATGGACGTTTGGCGATGCGCACATTTTACAATTGTCGAACTCTTATCAGGATTGTTCGGTATCATCATCGGAGCCAGGGGGGGGGCAGCTTTTAAGTGATGATCCACACATCGCAGTCACACGTGTGGATGTGGTGCGAAGTCAAACGGTGGATGCTCAAATCGGGCAGAAGCAGGCAGGCAGCCAGACCCAAGCTCTGTGGCCCCATGTCGGGATGTTTGACCACCCCCGTTCGTGAGCGCGGGATTCGTGTCATCCTCACAGCGCAAGGCCATCACACAGGTGCTGCGGTGTTTCACAGAGAGCTATAATCTGCTAGGAGTGGGCGACGTCTCTCTTTGTGGTTTCACCCAATGAAGTAATCCGAGTCAACATTTATAATTTGACGAATCTCGACCTGGGACGCCAGCGCACGCGGCTTCCCTCCCATGTCTCTCTCGCCATGCCACGGGGTCTGTGACGTCCACCGTGACGTCCACCGTGACGTCCACAGTGGCGTCCACCGTGATGTCCACCGTGACGTCCACCGTGACGTCACGGTGACGTCCACTGTGACATCCACGGTGACGTCCACCATGGCGTTCACCACGGAGTGGACGCCGGGTTCGCAACCCCTCCTGCACGCTCCCAGATTAGAACTGCGCCTGTGATGCCGGGGGCAGGTGGGGGCTGGGGGTTGGGGGTTTGGGGGTTGGGGGGTGTGGGGGGGGGGTGTGAAGGATTGCCGAGCGGAGGTGCTGCGCGTGCTCTACGGAGGGAGAGCGATTGAATTGCCTCCGTGGAAGACGGACTGTGCCGCTGCCGCTGAATGGAGCAATTCGCGTTGCTGATTATTCCATCTCCAGCCCCGAATATATATATTAAATATATATATAATATATAATTCAATAGGAGCCCCTGCGCGGACATTGCGCAATGGCACGAACGCCGCTGTGCGAACCCGGTAACCCCCGGGCCTGATCCCCGCCGTCCGCGCCTGCGAGCGGCTCATTTGTCAACAAAGCAAATCAGAGGCTTGACGCGCTCTCTCCTCCGCTCGAGTGAATAAGCAAGGCGGGCGCTCATTTCGGTTTTGTTGGCATGGGGCCAGCGGCTGAGGTTTCGGCGCTCGCGCGGCCGCGGCCGGCGATCCGCATCCCCCCCGGCAGCCTCTGCAAACGGCGAGGGGAAGAAATTCCGTGACCGCGGCGGCAGGGATGGTGGCAGGGATGGTGATGAGCGGGGATGGTGATGAGCGGGGATGGTGATGAGCGGGGATGGAGTTGAGCGGGGATGGAGTTGAGCGGGGATGGTGATGAGCGGGGATGGAGTTGAGCGGGGATGGTGATGAGCGGGGATGGAGTTGAGCGGGGATGGTGATGAGCGGGGATGGAGTTGAGCGGGGATGGTGATGAGCGGGGATGGAGTTGAGCGGGGATGGAGTTGAGCGGGGATGGAGTTGAGCGGGGATGGAGTTGAGCGGGGATGGAGTTGAGCGGGGATGGTGATGAGCGGGGATGGTGATGAGCGGGGATGGAGTTGAGCGGGGATGGAGTTGAGCGGGGATGGAGTTGAGCGGGGATGGTGATGAGCGGGGATGGAGTTGAGCGGGGATGGAGTTGAGCGGGGATGGAGTTGAGCGGGGATGGTGATGAGCGGGGATGGAGTTGAGCGGGGATGGAGTTGAGCGGGTGGAGTTGAGCGGGGATGGTGATGAGCGGGGATGGAGTTGAGCGGGGATGGTGATGAGCGGGGATGGAGTTGAGCGGGATGGAGTTGAGCGGGATGGAGTTGAGCGGGGATGGAGTTGAGCGGGGATGGAGTTGAGCGGGGATGGAGTTGAGCGGGGATGGTGATGAGCGGGGATGGAGTTGAGCGGGGATGGAGTTGAGCGGGTGGAGTTGAGCGGGGATGGTGATGAGCGGGGATGGAGTTGAGCGGGGATGGAGTTGAGCGGGGATGGAGTTGAGTGGGGATGGTGATGAGCGGGGATGGAGTTGAGCGGGATGGTGATGAGCGGGGATGGATTGAGCGGGGATGGAGTTGAGCGGGGATGGAGTTGAGCGGGGATGGAGTTGAGCGGGGATGGAGTTGAGCGGGGATGGTGATGAGCGGGATGGAGTTGAGCGGGGATGGAGTTGAGCGGGGATGGAGTTGAGCGGGGATGGTGATGAGCGGGGATGGTGATGAGCGGGGATGGTGATGAGCGGGGATGGAGTTGAGCGGGGATGGAGTTGAGCGGGGATGGAGTTGAGCGGGGATGGTGATGAGCGGGGATGGTGATGAGCGGGGATGGTGATGAGCGGGATGGAGTTGAGCGGGGATGGAGTTGAGCGGGGATGGAGTTGAGCGGGGATGGAGTTGAGCGGGGATGGAGTTGAGCGGGGATGGTGATGAGCGGGGATGGTGATGAGCGGGGATGGTGATGAGCGGGGATGGAGTTGAGCGGGGATGGAGTTGAGCGGGGATGGAGTTGAGCGGGGATGGTGATGAGCGGGGATGGAGTTGAGCGGGGATGGAGTTGAGCGGGGATGGAGTTGAGCGGGGATGGAGATGAGCGGGGATGGAGTTGCGCGGGGATGGAGGTTGAGCGTGGATGGAGTTGAGTGGGGATGGTGATGAGCGGGGATGGAGTTGAGCGGGGATGGTGATGAGCGGGGATGGAGTTGAGCGGGGATGGAGTTGAGCGGGGATGGAGTTGAGCGGGGATGGAGTTGAGCGGGGATGGAGTTGAGCGGGGATGGAGTTGAGCGGGGATGGTGATGAGCGGGGATGGAGTTGAGCGGGGATGGTGATGAGCGGGGATGGAGTTTAGCGGGGATGGAGTTGAGCGGGGATGGAGTTGCGCGGGGATGGAGTTGAGCGGGGATGGAGCTGAGCGGGGATGGTGATGAGCGGGGATGGTGATGAGCGGGGATGGTGATGAGCGGGGATGGAGTTTGAGCGGGGATGGAGTTGAGCGGGGATGGAGTTGAGCGGGGATGGTGATGAGCGGGGATGGTGATGAGCGGGGATGGTGATGAGCGGGGATGGAGTTGAGCGGGGATGGAGTGAGCGGGGATGGAGTTGAGCGGGGATGGAGTTGAGCGGGGATGGAGTTGAGCGGGGATGGAGTTGAGCGGGGATGGTGATGAGCGGGGATGGTGATGAGCGGGGATGGTGATGAGCGGGGATGGAGTTGAGCGGGGATGGAGTTGAGCGGGGATGGTGATGAGCGGGGATGGAGTTGAGCGGGATGGAGTTGAGCGGGGATGGAGTTGAGCGGGGATGGTGATGAGCGGGGATGGAGTTGAGCGGGGATGGAGTTGAGCGGGGATGGTGATGAGCGGGGATGTTGATGAGCGGGGATGGTGATGAGCGGGGATGGTGATGAGCGGGGATGGAGTTGAGCGGGGATGGTGATGAGCGGGGATGGAGTTGAGCGGGGATGGTGATGAGCGGGGATGGAGTTGAGCGGGGATGGAGTTGAGCGGGGATGGAGTTGAGCGGGGATGGTGATGAGCGGGGATGGAGTTGAGCGGGGATGGAGTTGAGCGGGGATGGAGTTGAGCGGGGATGGAGATGAGCGGATGGAGTTGAGCGGGGATGGTGATGAGCGGGGATGGAGTTGAGCGGGGATGGTGATGAGCGGGGATGGTGTTGAGCGGGGATGGAGTTGAGCGGGGATGGTGTTGAGCGGGGATGGAGATGAGCGGGGATGGAGTTGAGCGGGGATGGAGTTGAGCGGGGATGGAGATGAGCGGGGATGGAGTTGAGCGGGGATGGAGTTGAGCGGGGATGGTGATGAGCGGGGATGGAGTTGAGCGGGGATGGTGATGAGCGGGGATGGTGATGAGCGGGGATGGAGTTGAGCGGGGATGGAGTTGAGCGGGGATGGAGTTGAGCGGGGATGGAGTTGA